ACACTTGAGGCTGGCTTCTCTTCTAGAAGAGTTCTCAGCATGTCCAACATTGAGTAAGAGTGTGTGGATGTCAATGGCCCTGAAGGTTCTAGTCAAAATGGTCATTCCAAGTCCCTCATGGTTAGCTATCTACTGAGAGAACAGACTTTGCCACCCATGGGTATAGTACAAGAAGCCCTAATCACATAGAAACTTGGAGAAGACACCTGGGACCTGGAGTGGAGTAGAGGGTAAGAAGACCTTGTTTTCCTGAGCAATCTTGAACCCCTCTTCGTGCAGCATCTTTTCTAAGCCCCACTCTCTTCAATTAAGAAGTTCTACTTGGTCCTGAGTAAACAGGGTCATTAAGAAAGAAATGCTACCTTTCAAGAATACTTCAGAGTTCCGTTTCTTTTCTGCCCTCTGAGAACTGACAGAATACTTTGAACTTGCTGTTTGCATTCTCTGGAGATCTACTGTTCTCTGAAGTTTTGCATGGTAGCAAGAACAAGCAACAGTCCCTCAGTGTTCACTTCAACAGGAGGAAGGGAGGGACCTGGTGGAATCTGTCAGGTCCAAAGAAAACTCCATTTCCCTGAATTCTGGCAGTTATACAAAAGCCAGCCTTCCTCAGAAACCTGTGAAGCTGGTTCTCCTCTACCAAAAGGAGCCATTTCCCTTGTCACTGGCAGAGAGGATAAATGGCTATCTGTGGTGCTTATTGGCTTATCAAAGCATATGCTCACCTCCAGGATCCCTCAGTATCACAAAAAAAGCACCTGTTACACATTTCAGAGTTCATGCTGGCATCCTGGCCCCCATCACCTCCTGCCCCTCGTGAACTTTTCCAGATCATGGACTTCTTTCTCTCTAGCTACTCATTCTCCTTATAGTCCTGCTATTCCAGTTATGTGTTTTCTTGGATATCTCTTTATCTTCATCTCTTGCTCTCCCCGACCCCTGTTCTCCCTCTCCCTATCTTTCTGCTCTGCTCCTGTTTCTCTCCTGAACACAATTGGTCTCCTGGCTATGTTCAGTCTATTACTTTTCTCTCTGTGTTCTAAACTCTTTCAGAAGCCTCTAGCTCTCACCCCCTCATATCTATGATGAAAACCTTTCCCTTAACCACACCTTTGAGTGGTTGTGGCATCTGTTCATACAGAACCCAGGAAAGAAGCAGTTAATGGCCCTGTAGCAGGCAACCAGCTTAAGGGTTGGAGCCACAATAGAGAGCTGCCAGGAGGGCTTTGGCTGGACAAGCATCCTACTTGCCCTGGCAAGGCAGAGTAAGGGCTACTTATAGGGCTAGGTCAAGCAGTTCTGGAAGCAGATGAGTGAGGACAACTGCAGGTTCAGGAGTTCAGGCTGGGGTTAGGGCAGTGCCACAGAATCCCTGCCAGGTCTGGCCAGCATTTGAGAGGAGGAGGTTAAAACTGGAAGACAAAACCTTTTCTAGGATACCATATACTATTATTTTTAAAGATTTTTTTTGTTGTTATTTTTAAAGGGTATGCGTGCTTGTGCCTGTGTGCATGTGTGTATGTGTGTGCATGTGTGTGTATGTGTGGGGTTAAGTACAAGTGCTCTTGGAGGCCAGAGGCTGCAGATCCTTCTGGAAGCTAGAGAGTTACAGGCTTGTGAGCCATGCAATCTGAAGGTTGGGAACCCAACTGAGGTCCTCCGGAAGAACAGTCTGTGCTTTTAACCACTAGCCATCTTCCAGCACACCCACACTATTCTTAACTAGAGAACTTTCTAGATTATATTTACTAGGTGCTGCAGGAATAAGATAAAAAATAAGGCAGCCCTGTTATATGGGCACTGGTGAGTACCCCAATGCCCATTTCATTTGTCTTTTAGCTTTATAGACAGGCAAATTGAGGACCGAGAATTAAGAGCAGCCTGGGCCTTGTGGTCCTTTTTTATTATTCATTCACTGACTACATGTCTACGCATTTTGACTGCTTATCACTGGGGAAGGGGGGATGTGTTTTCTTTCTGTCTTCAGTCACAGATCGTTCTGTGTTTGAGAACTTTCCGGAGCTTTGACGCCACCCAGCTCTGCTGCCCACTTTGTACCTAGTCATGAATGTGAAGTTCGCGGACTCGCTGCTTCCCACTGTGTTTGAAAATCAGTCACCACAGAGTTCTGGCCTTGGCCGCCCACAATGTGTTTGGCTCTCCAGGAACAGCTCCCTCTCCATCCTCTGCAGACACCAGGTCGCCAGGTCTCAGGCCCTGAGGAAAGGAACTTCCTGGTGCCTGGTGTGCTAGAAGCCCAAAGTGGTGTTAGTTGGGGACAGAGCCAGTTTGCTAGGTCCCACTTCGGGAATAGCCTCATCCCACTCTGGCCGAGAACTTTAAGTTCCACAGAGCACCTGCCCCTCCCGCTGTCCTGCTTCATTGCTCACCACGCAGCTGCTTCCACAGGCCTTCAGGCTCAGTCAAGACTCCAGGGACCAAGCCCACTCTGCCCGGCAAGGCCAGTCTGGGAGAAGTCACTTGGGGCAAATGCAGAAGGGAAAAGGAGCCCTTCTGGACAGCAATGCTGCAGCTTCCTGCCGGTAAACCCAGCTGCCCACCACAGCCCAGGAGCCATTAGAAGCCCAAATTGGGGTGCACATGCCCAACTGCCCCAAGAGCTGTTTTGCAGTGACTTGGGGGCTGCAGTTGGTAGGAGCCAGGAGGGTAGCAGCTTGGGCCTGGCTACCCCTCTCTTCCCCTTAACCCCAGCACTCAGAAGGCAAGACAGGAAAGGATCTGAGTTTTAGGCCAGACTTGTTCATATAGCAAGTCCCAGGCCAGGCAGGTCGCATAATGAGACTGTGTCTTAAGTAAATAATACAATTAAAGCTTGAACCTGTGATCTGTGGCTGCATGATGCCAGAAACACAACCCCACCTCATGAAGAAAGCACATGCGATTCTCTCACAACAGCATTTGCTAAGGCAAAGTTGAAGTTTAAATGGAGTTGTCATCCAGCATTTGAAAGAACAACTCCCCCTGTAGTAGAGAGGAACTTCTAACTGCGCATGTCAGTGACAAAACAGGCAGACTTCTGTGGGAATTTCTACATGGTAGCAGTCCAATAGGGCACAGAACTATCTGAGGAACTCTCTGCCCTCTGGTGGCTGCAACTAACTTTAATAAAGGGAAGAGGCCCACCCCCACCCCATCACGTGCTGACACAGTGGTGAGCCTAGCTGGCTAGGGCATCAGGAGGGTCCCCAATATCTGTCTGAGCTCCACAAGAGCCCAAGGTGGGCACCTGGGAGCTAAGGCAATCAGACCTTACTACAATCCACAGCTCACCCTTTGTTGTCTACCCTCTCCATGCAAGTCAAGAGCCCAAGGTAAGAACCCTTGCACATGTCGAAGCAGTCTTGATGTGTATACACACTGTGGAACCATCATCACTCCACCATGACATCACCACCCCAAAAGTCTCCTCATACCCCTCACTAGCACCCTCTTCCAGCCCTAAACACCCACTACCCATTTCTACTACTGAATAATTTGTACTTCGGGAATGTTACATAGCTGGAACCACATCTCATTTTGAGGAAACCCAGCTTCTTCTACTCACACAATTACTTTTAAGTATCACTCTCCAGTTCCTTTCATTGATATGTCGCTGACTGTATGGACAGGTCAGTATCCTAAAGGCCATGAGTCCATTCACTTGGCATGTCTCCAGGCTTTGATTTCACTGACATGTAGGATTCCTAAGTCAGTTTCTCTAACATGTGTAGTCTTAGGAGAGCACAGAGAAGCTGAGGGGTTGCTGCAGCCTGTGCTGACAAGCCAGGCTTCAAACTCCAGGGAACCAGTCACAGAGACCCCCACACCTGAGTTTTACCTCCAGCTCTAGCAGGAGGGAGAAGGTAGGAGAAGGGAAAGGCATCCTTTGAAATGCAGCTTTCTTAGACACAAGGCCTAGCTCTCAAGACAAACTTTTATTTGCCTTTTCATTTTATTACCAAGTTACTGGAGAAAAATTAAATGTCAAAACAATTTTTACTGAAATAAAGTTTTACCCAATGTCAATATGGTTGTCAGTGGTTTGAAAAAATGGCATTTTTAAAAGATGAGCATATTAGGTATAAGGAAATAATACATTAGACTAATAGAAGAGAGGTCATTGCTTTTTCAGGGCAATAGTAATAGGAAATTACAGAAATGATTTGAGAGGTCTGGGGGGGGGGGCATAGCTCAACAGTACAGTACAAGGGTCTGCTTTTAAGTTCCAACACCATCACTCCCAACCATTTTCTTGTGGATTCTATTTAAAGGTTTTTTTTCATAATAATTATATAAAATTGATATTGGCAGATATTGATTCTGCTACATCACAACTACTTTATAGGTCAATGACCTAAAAACACCAATTAAAGGCAAGTATGGCAAGAATGGGGGGGGGGGGAAGGGGAGTGGAGGAAACCCAGTAACTAGGACCCAACTGTAACTATATGTTGAATCTCATAGGAAATTTGTATCAAGAACATAGAATACACAAAGAACAATTACAGCTCATAATAAAAACATACATAACCTAATCTTCTCTTTAAAAAACATGGGCAAAGGATCTGAATGGACATTTCACTCAAAACACATGTGAATGCCCACTAAGCCCATGAGGACACAAACATGAATAGCCTTCAGTCTTGTGAGTGAAGGTGACAGAGGCCCCACTTGAGACACACAGCAGAGTAACTATTGTCTAAAGACCCACACACAGCTGAGGGCGAGGAGGAAGCCTTCTCCAATAGTAATGGGACATAAACAGCATGGGCAAGTGCCAGGGGAAACTGGTAGTACCTAGTATATCAGGTTACTCCATTTCTCTGTAGAATGAAATTGAAACATTCATTTTTGCATGATTCAGTAATATGTATTATGTATAATTATCACAGCGATTATTATTGTATATATTACTACCAACTGGGTCTATTATTAGCTCTCTCCCATTTCACTTACACTTATTAGTTTAAATCAGTGAATCTGCTGTATACCATGTGCTCAATAAATCAAATCTATAATTATTTATTTGAAAACAATGAAGATTGGACTTTCCTTTAAAAAAAAAAAGGGGGGGGTGAGGTGTGTAACACATCACTGTCTCTTCCAGGTGCTGAGCAACACCAGGCACTGCTGGACCAAGCTGGGGGCCTTCAGGTGGCAGATCTCTTTAAACCAGACCACACTGAGCGTTTCATTCCCTGCTTGGCTTTCACTTCTTGCCAGTCCAGTTTGATGTCAGGGATCTCAGGCTCCAGTTCTGGCTCCTTACTCAAGGTCCCCTGTGGGGAGGCCACCACAATAGGCAGAGGCCCACATTCCTCCCGGAACTCCACCACGTGGAGGCCCTTCTTATCGGCCAGATGTTGGTGGGTTTCCTGGAAAAGGGCAAATGGAGACAAGATTAGGTCTGTGAAAAACATTTGCTACTTAAAGGATCAGGGCTTCTGTCAACCAGAGGGAAGCCAGCATCCAGAACTCTCAACAGCTTGGGGAAGTGAAGTAGCTATTTCACTTGATTCGGGTAATGTGTGTGGCTCGACACTGATTTAACTCAGCCCACAGCCCACCACACAAAACTCACATGACAGACTACTTGTCGGCCAAGGACAGGGCTACCAGGATGGCCTTGAAGTCACAAACCTTCCCCTCCATATGGAGTGGAGGGACCGTGAGCCAGATCCCACTGGACAGCAACTCAGGGTCCCCACCTCAGGAGGACATACCACTCCATGGCTACATCAGCCAATCACTGAAGTAATTTTTAAACACATGTCTCATGGAAACCTTCAAGTTTAAACTTCAGTGTTTCAGAAAGCCAGTAATTACATTGTTCTATCAAAAAAGCACGCTTTGTCTAGCTCCTTCAGTATATGGAATAAGCAAGTCCAACTGGGCAATGGTGGTACACACCTCTAATCCCAGCACTCAGGAGGCAGAGACAGTAAGTTCTGTGAGTTCAAGGCCAGCCTAGTCTACATCTACAGCACTGAGTCCCAGGATAGGGAGGACTACATAGAGAAACCCTGTCTCTAAAAACCAAAAAAAGAAAAAGAAAGAAAGCTCCTTTGCTACTTTAATTCTATTTATTGGACTTGGTGAAGCACTTAGGCCCACTGAGGAGAGGACATCAGAATTCACACAGACCTAAGCTGTTGGAACTATAATCATTAATATGCAAAGTTCTACATCCAAGGAGCTGAGCACCCTGGGTTGTCTAGCTAGACCTGGGCCTGGAATCAGTCCCTCTGCTCCATGTGGAGACATACTGAGGAAGGATCACAGCAGCATGGTCTGGAACACAAACCAGTACTTCTGCCTTTCCACCTGGGAGGTTACCTGGCGAGCAAGCCCATGGAAGAAGCCCCGGGTGAGGTTGATCATGTTCATAGACCCAGTGACCCTCGCATACATGTCCTTGATGCCAATGAGGCGGCACATGGTGATAATGGCCCTGTGGCAGCGGAGGCCATAACCTAGAAGATCAAAATTAAACACCAACAATGGTTACTCACTCTGCTGGCTTTCATAGGGTGCTGGCCTCTGCATTTAGGGAATAAATGTGTCTAAACACCCCCTCCCCCAAAGAAAAGGCAATGCAAGCCACAAACAAAAGTCATGTGATTTAAATTTTTTTCATAGACGAATTAAAGTTATTTTAATGAATCTAATGTGCAATACAGTTTTAACAATATATTTTGCCAAGCCAACAGGTCCAGACATTACCATTTCAAAATGTACTCCATACAATATGAAGTGAGAGACTTTACATTCTTTCATCATAGCAAATGTGGTGTGTGTTTGATTTGAACGGTCTCAACAGCCACAGATCAACTACACAATCACCTACTAGCAGCAGTCATTCTGTGGAACAATGTGGGTCTGATCCTTGTCAGGTCTAAGCAGGCATCTGAGTGATTAACTGAGCTGAGGAGCAGAAGACAAGTTCTGATGCATTAACACATTGGTGTGAACATTTTGTTTGGTTTGGAGGCGGTGATGTTTCACCCCACAGCTTCTGCAGAATTGTAGTAGAAGCTCTGATATAAGGTTTAAAATGTTTTAATGTTTCAGCCCCAAACTTTCAGAGATTTTGATAACTATGGTCATAGGAGACCATTTTTCACCATAGAATTACAGGTGAGATGCAAGTGAGAATGTGTCAGAATCTCTACCCACAGACCAGGGGAATGACTATCACAGTCCCAAGGCAAAATCTACCTGCTACTTTGAGAGGCAGAAAGAACATTTCTGCATGCCCAATGCTTCAATGGGGAGACCTTACAAAAGACAGGCACTCAATGTGGAGTGCGGCTGGAGACATACCATAGTGGTTGTACTGGCTAGTTTCATGTCAACTTGACACAAGCTAGAGTCATCAGATGGAGGGAACCTCAGTTGAAAAATGCTCCATAAGATCAAGAAAGCTGAAGAAAAAAAGAGCAGAGGACCCAGCTGCTGCAGTTTTTATCTTCAACAAACAGTGAGAGCTAGTTACCTCTGGGTTGTTTCTTCATCCTGATCTGTGTCCTTTTAAATCTTAGTGAAATATCATGGAATACTGGAGGCAAAAACACAAATACAAGAAGGGTAGGGTGAGAGGCGTGACACAATTCTGCAACCTCACAATGCAATGCATCCTGCCCTGAACAGCAGCATACAGTGGCCAAGGATGGACACATGCTGGTCTCTGGGTTAGATCTGTTTCCACATTTCATACGTTTGTAAGGACAAAGTAACAGAAATACAACAAAATCTTGCCACACATTCTGTAACAGACATATTCCTGCAGACTTCAGAAGAAATGCCCCACACTCACTTGTATGGCCTTCATATAGTTCTATATAATGCAAATAATGAATTGCTCTGTTCTTTGCCTAAAAAAAAAAAGAAAGAAAATATTTCTTAAACATTTTGCTGTTTAGATGAGTGTGGTGGTACACACCTTTAATCCCAGTACTCAAGAGGCAGAATCAGACAGATCTTCAAGAGTTCAAGACCAGCCTCATCTACATATGAGTTCTGGGACAGCCAGGACTATTTAGAGAGACCCTGTTTTTGTTTTTGTTTTTGTTGGCTCAATCTTTGAGTCAGGGTTTTGCTATGTACCCCAGGCTGGCCTCAAATTCAAATTCCTGCCTTAGCCTCCCATGTGCTGGGATTACAAAGGTATACCACCATGTCTGGCTTCTTATTGGAGTTCAAAAACATCTTTCATAAAATATTTTACTACAAGCAATTTCACCTATACAAAAATTTTAGTATTAAAAACAAACAAACAAAAAAAGCCCATAAACATAGTTTCACTGTTCCACTTATGAACCTTCCTGCGTGACTCGGAACAGCCTGTTGGTACACAAACCCCACAGCAGGCTCATCACAGTCGGCAACCACAGCTCTCTAACAGGTACCTGAGAAATGGCTTCTTACAAGGTAAGAAACCTTTGACAATGAGAAAGTTCTAGAACAAAGATTATTTTCTTATGGTTCCCAGACTGTCTAACACATAGCTCATTATCTTTTACTACAAAAAAAGAAAGGAAGGAAGGAAGGAAGGAAGGAAGGAAGGAAGGAAGGAAGGAAGGAAGAAAAGAAAAATGCTGGATGTGGTTGCACACATACGCACTCCCCATACTCTGGAGGCAGAGGCAGGAGGATCCAGAGCTCCAGTCACAGCAGGAGCAGGCCTCAAATAGAGAGAAAGCACATACCTTTCTGAAAGCATCTGCACGGTCAGCGGCTTTCCCAATAGCAAAACCTTTCAAAGAAAAAGCAAAGACTTGGAAATGGAAACAGTTTTGCATACAACTTGCCTTCCACCACATCTCCAATGTTAGCTGCTACAGTGAGTGTTTACAAGCCCTGCATCTTCCCACCACCCACAGAGAAGCTGCTCCATAACCAACAAACACAGCCACAGGGCTTTGCCTGTCTGCTTTGAACATAAAGTTCTACATCAGATGCAATGCTTAACAAAGCTTTATTGAAGTGAAAGGAGCTCGGAGTACTCATTTATTTCCTGATTTGGGTCTTTTCAAGACAGGGTTTCTCGGTGTAGCCCTGGCTATCCTAGAACTCACTCTGTGGACCAGGGTGACCTGAAACTCAGAGATCCACCTGCCTCTGTCTCTCTAGTGTTGGGCTGCCTCTGGGTTGTGTGTGTGTGTGTGTGTGTGTGTGTGTGTGTGTGTGTGTGTGTGTATACTACATGCATGAAGGAGTACAAGGAGATAATGATAAGAGGTGTCAGATCCCCTGGAACTGGAGTTACAAACGGCTGTGAGCTGCCATGTGGACACTGAGAACCAGACCCTAGTCTTCTGAAAAAGCAACAAGTGCTCTTAACACCCTGAGCTATTTCTATATGTTCTATAGTAATAAGCAAATGATTTTGAACACCTTTGGAAACACTGCACCAACAGGTGGAAGCCACTTTGCTCCAGAGTGACAAATGTTTTCAGTGGAACTGTCAAGCAGAGTCTAGGGCTAATTTAGCCAGCAATAAGATCAGTGGCCCTTCAATCTATGGTTATTCTTAAATAAGGTTTTTCATAGGTTCTGGGAAAGTCCCTGGCATCTGCTGCCACTGCCAATTACTGAATTTGAAGATTTACTTTGTAAGTCATACAAAGGAGAAAGCATCATCTAAGACTTGGGACAAAGAAATGTGAATTTTAACTTTCAGATAAATAAAACAAACAAAACCAGATATCCCAGAGGAAATTATTAGCAGACTCATTTATAATTTTCAAACACAGACTCCTTAAGCAAAGCACAAAGTTGGAAGTGATCAGAGTGACAGATTTGCCTCACAAAAGCTTACAAAGTCTCTGGCTTTAACACCAAGCAGGAAAAAACAAAACAAAACAAAAATGCAGTCAAAACATTTGAAAGGCAAATGGGCTGATATGTCTTCACCTTATAAAAAGCTTATGCTAATCAGTTAGGAAAACCATCACCCTGTAAAAATTGGACCAAACAAAAGCCCAAAGACATGCAAAATCGTGTCCACACTTCCTAATTAAAAACATACAAATCAAAACTAAGAGATATGATGCACATATCATGCTGTCAATTACTGAAGCTTGATAGTATCGGGGTAGGGGTGTGATGGGAGATAATGTGGTGGTTCCTATCATCACATAAAAGGGTAGCAACCTCACTGCAAGCAGCCCCCCTATGGCTACACCCACAAAGGTTTAACAGACTACACTTGCTGGGGTTTGTTACGTTGTGAAAATTTGGGTCTGTGAGCCCAACCACTCAAAGGTTAAACTAGTAGGGAAGATCAGACCAGCAACATGGACTCTGAGGTTTTCAGTAAGGCCAGGCCTAGCGCAACTTCTACCACCACCACCAGCATCAGCACCACCAGCATCAGCACCACCACCACCAGGTGTAACACCACCCCATTCACCTGCAGCCCCATTTCCATTCCCCACAGCAACCAGGACACGGACCGACTTCTTTCTTCCCTCTTTTGCTGTCATATTGAAAACATTCCTTACCTAAAAGACAAAATGTCTCATCAGTATTGCCTTGAGGAACCTGAAGGGGGCCAGCAGTGCTGCCTGCCTGCCTGCCTGCCTGCCTGCTGGCCCAGTTACACCCACTTGTGTGTGGGCCCTGCACTTTCCAGTGCTGTAAGACAAACAACAGACCTTTCTCCAAACAAACTCACAAAGCTGTCCTCTGGACCATCTCCTCAGGGAAAAAATGGAAGTAAGACTTTCTCTTCCCATTTCACAGGTTTAGTGGAAGATACAACTTACATGAATGTGCCACAAGAAAGAAAAACATTTAGGATTACAATGGAATGGCTCATCAGTGAGTGTAAGAAATAGGCCAAAAAAGAGATGCTCGCTTATCTACATACAGTGAAAACACAGCATACAGAAGTATAGGACTGGACGACTGTTGCATAAGGGTTAGGTTTAATGGGAAATAAAAAAAAAAAAATTGGAAATGCCTGCTTATGGTGAATTACAAAAAAAAAAAAAAAAAAAAAAATCTGCAGGCCAATAACTGTGAAACTGTTAACTATGTCACTTACAGAGCAGCCACACCTGTGGTTCATGGTGCTCCTTTACTATAAATGGTATTAAAAGGAAAGGGAGATTGCATCTACTCATACAGAAAAGTACCAACATAACAGAAGTTAGTTTTCAAAATCTATAACCTTGGATAAAACAGAAGTACTGGTGGACATTCTTTAAACTGTGCTGTCTGGCAGAAGACGTTATGTGCACACTCAGGACAGACAGCTCCAGTGCAGGTGACTGCTTCCCAAACAGGCTCCTGACCAGTAAGGTGCTGTGCCAGACCAATTAGACAGTGCTCTGGAAAAGCAACTCAAGTTCATTTCGATCAGAGATTCAGTTTCAAGAGCTGGAAGAGCTCACTGCCCAGCCTCCTACCAGTGACTCCCCCATCTGTGTCCCTTCAACTGAGTGCTGGATGCAGTTAGTTTTTAACTCAGTGACAAACTGCTACTTTCTTGAGCTTTAGGATGGAGGAAAGTACACATAAGTTCCAAGTCCGCTATTAAACAACCACTGAAGTCACCTTGTCACAAAACTGCCTCACCCAGATGTCCAGATCAGCCATGCATCTGAGAGACTCTGGGCCAAAAGCTTTGGCCCCAGCCCCACCCCTCACATCCCAGCCCCTCAAGGGCATGGCAGGGTACTTAATTCCATGTGCCTACCTCGAGGACCCTGGTATCAAAGTCTTCATATGTTTCTACAAGAAAGAAAAAGCATAGAGATGAATGACTGTTGTATTAATATAGGGAAGCATTTTGGCACCATCACAGATATTTTTCTTTGGTGGGGGTATTAATGAGGACTGAATCCAGGGCCTCATCCTTGTGATGCAAGCATTCAACCACAGAGCTACACCCTGGCCCCACTACAGACTCTAATATTAAAAAGTCTCAGATCTAGCCGGATGTTGGTGGTGCACGACTTTAATCCCAGCACTTGGGAGGCAGAGGCAGATGGATCGCTATGAGTTCAAGGCCAGCCTGATCTTTAGAGCTAGTTCCAGGACAGGCTCCAAAGCAATACAGAGAAATCCTGTCTCAAACAAACAAACAAACAAACAAACAAAGTCTCAGGTCCTCAGGCATCCCTCTCAAGGCTCCACCCTGGCTCCATCCTTAACAGACTGCTCCAACAATGGATTCAACCTTGCTCCAACCTTGGATCACTCTGCCAACTCCTGAATGCTCCCCCTCATCAGCTCTGAGGGCCCTTGTCAGCTCCAGACCTTTGATCACCATTTACATTAAAGACACCAAAGCCATCATTTTCCAAACCCCTTCTCCCCATACTCCCTTCCCACAATCAGTACAGCTTGCTGGCCACAGCTGAGTACTGGGCATGGCTAAACTACAGCCGGGGCACAGCACCTAGCCACCCAACACCTCCCAGCCATGTGGTGCTCTAACAGCTCACTCACCATACTGTCTTTAACTATACTCTCTTTAACTTTTTAAATAATCTTTTATTCATTGACAATTTTACATGTGCATAGCGTACTCTGATCAGAATCAACCGCATTCTCCTCCCTCTTCCCTGCTTACTGAGACCCTTTTTCCCACACATCGCTCTCCTACTTTCATGTCTTTTTTTATTAAAAAACAAACAAACAAACAAACAAAAACAACAAAAAACCCCACTGAGTTTAGTTAGAGTTTCATAATAAGTTAAGCTCAAGCTTATGAAAATTTCTAGCCACCCCTCTTGGCTGTGTTCCCTATGATACAGTTTGGATAGCATGTGGTTTACTCAAACCCTCTTCACAAAAACATAAAACCTAACAGGCAAGTAAAAAAAAAAAAAAAAAAAAAAAATTTTCAAAAAAACACCCTAGCACTGTCACAAAGGCAGAGGTAAGTAGAGTGGGGATGTGGCTACCTCCATTGGGCCCCTGGCTTGGGGGGCCGATACTGACACCTCCCCATGTGCTTCCACTCCATCCACGCTCCCGTTTAACTTTTATCTTCCTCCTCCGTTCCCACTCTTCTCTCTGCTGGGTCATGTCTGCCTCTACCTTCTCCTGCTCTTCTTTGCTTCTTTGGCCAATGGTCTGGACCACTCCACTTTTCATAACAGGAACATTCAGACCAGGCCACAGGAAACCAGAACGCCCTGAAGATTTTAAAATACTCATAAATAAGAATTTGAAGATTCATTTTTCCAGTATCAAAATGCCAGGCAAGATATGAACAGATAGATAGCCCAGAGCTGGCAGAGCTTATGTAGAATAATTGCTCAGCATGTCACTTTGTGTTACCAAAATTGTAAATGCATGCAAGCTAAATCACTATATCACCTAAAGAAAGACTCTCACATTGGGGCAAGGCATACACGGACCTTGCCAAGCATATCCACTGAAATATTATTACAAAAGCAAAACCTTCACCATCAAAATGCTCAGGCCAAATGACACAGCTGTTGTGTGGGATATTCTACATGAAATCCAAAGAACAATGTCTCTTTCAAAGGTCTGATGTGGACTGAATTCCAAGATCTACTATTGACCAAAACAAGGGAATTTTAAGACAGCATATTCTAATTTCCTTTCTACTATGATAAAATATTATGTCAAAAGCAATTTAGAAGAGAGTTTTGTTTTAACTCACAGTTCCAGGTTCCCATCCATCACTGTAGAAAAGTCAAGGAGGCAGCTAGTCACATCCAAGGCAAGAGCAGATCGAGAAGGGATGCAGGCACACTTGCCTGTACTTGGCTCACTTTCTCCTTTTTGGTGAGCCCAGGACCCAAATCTCTGCTCTTAGACTGGGTCTTCCCACACCAACTGATGTAATCAAAATAGTGCCCCACAAACATGCCCCATGGGTCAACTTGACCTAGACAACCCTTATGGGGACTCTTCCCAGGAGACTCCAGAGTACATCAAGGTGCCAACTAAATCACCATCGCACAACACATAACATATAGCATAATTAAATTATCTTTAGAAAGGCATTTCCATAAAAGCATTAAAAATACTAAAGGAAACTTAAGAAAATGAGTTGGGGGAGGCAATGGGACTACAGGCAACTGAAAGGGGATGCTCGATGTTCTCTACAATACTTGCTTCTTCTTTTTTTTAAACTGACAAGATATATATGTGATTTTTGTAATAATAAAAAACAAAGACAAGCATATTAGCTGGGAGTTCTGTAATCCTAGTTCCAGGGAAGCTAAGGCAGGAGGATCCTAAGTTCAAGGCCAGCCTGGGATACACAAAACAGGAGATTAGAGGCTTTAAATATGTTTACCTTCACCGATGATCTGGCCCTTGTTCAAATCCTTTTTCTTCTTCCTCTTTGTTCTTTTGCCTCTGCCCTTCCTTGCCCCAGTACCAGTCTCTGCTAAGGCACCCTTCCAGAGTTCTTCTGCCGTCACTGCAAAGAAATAGGATTGCTGTTTTCAATTCTGCTTGATGATCTATCGCATGTTGAATTAAAAGGGCCAGAAGAAGTCACTTCACGTACGCCCTTGCAGTGACATTAGAAGCACAACAAAGCCATTCCTTGAGTACCACAGAGTGACAACCAGAAAGCCCACGAGGAGATTATGCTATTAGTCCTCACAAAAGACAGCAGCCACTTGAGCCCCTTACAGGCAGGCTTGTTTACCTGACGCTTCATCAGCTATGACTTGGGTTGCTTCCCTGTTCTCTTGCCTCCACAATAATCAATGAAGTAATCAATAACTACCCTTCTTCCTAGTTTCATCTCCATTGCTGTGATCTGACCTCGAGCAGCTTAGGAGAGGGGCACCGTTGTGCAGCTCACACTCCACTAAGAGAAGTCAGGAGGCACTTAAGAAATTGATGCAGAAACCATCGAGGAACACTGCTGGCTGGCTCAGAGGCAGACATGTGCTCAGTTTGCTTTCTGACATAAGTCCAGGACCACCTTCCCAGGGCTGGTGCCTCCCAGTGGGATGGGCCCTCCTACATCAATTAACAATCAAGACAGTTCCCAAGGACATGTCCACAGGCCAGATGACTCTAGGCTGTGTCAAATTGACAAGTAAAAATAACTAGGACACTGTCTTATACACAAGAACCTACACCCCACTTAAAGTCTGTTTGCTCTGCTCTTCTGCCAATACCCAACATCCATTTCTTTCATACTTACAAAAGAACAGATATTCCAGTGTTTCATAGCCAATCCCCATGGCTGTGTTTGTTCTTGACTATTTTAAGTCACATAAGTCTTTTAATATATGCACACACTAGCACTGCTGATTTATTTCTATTTGTCAATTTCTAGGGTCCTAATATCTGTTTCTATCCTACATCTCAATCAATACTTTGTACTTGTAAATGCCTATGTTCTTTGGGTTGATCTTCATTGCATTTTATTGGTATTTAAATTTCATTTTTCCAAGTTTACCAACTATCTTGTAACTAGATTTTAATCCAGTATGAACTTATATAAGAAAAAATTGAAGCCAGGGCTGGGAAGATGGCTTAGTAGGAAAGTGCTTGCCTTGCAAGGACAAAGACACTAATGTGACCCCCAGAACCCATGTGAGAACAGTCAGGCACAGTGGCACATGCTTGTGACCCCAGCACTGGCGAGAGGACAAGAGGGATCCCGGGCTCACTGGCCAGTCTAGCTTCCTAGGTGAGCTCCAGTGACCATAAAATAATGTTTAAAAGTTATCTTTCCCTGACTGGATTATCCCCTCAGCTAAAAGAACACTAAACGGAGACAATGGATTGCTTTGTTTTTTTGTTTTGAGACTGAAAGTTTGATCATTTCCTTGTTACTCTTAAAAACTTATTTGACTGGACCCAGAAGTAGAAGTTCTCAGGGAAGACAGCCTACATCTCTTGACAGTCTGTTCGGGGTAATTTTCTTTGGCCCCCTTCATTCTCTTGGCCAAAAGTTTAGCATATTTTGCAGCCTCCTCATTTCTCTTAGTGTTGTTTCTTGAGAGCAACATGTCGGCGTTTGTATTGCAGGACATGTGAAGTAAGAGGACGCTGAATCTTGGGTGCTTTGGTCCTGGGCTTCTCACCATCTTTGTTGAAGGCTTTCTGACAACATACTGGGGACTTATCTAGAGACTGAAACTTTCATTTCCTGTGAACTCTCCTGAGTCCCAGCATCCCCAATGCATCTTTGAACACACTTGTGCTTCCCCTCTCTAGTTCTCCTTGGTCTGTAACAAGAATGTCTCTTACTCAACAGCAGGTGCACTCTGCAGTGGGTCAAGACATCCCGCTTCATGAGAAAACCTTGTTTGCCATTCCCATCACTGACTTGGACCACAAAGCCCTTCCAATCTTCACCAGAGACAGCATCAGCAGCTACTTCTGTGCCTGTGGCTTCTCACAGAAAGCACAAAGATGAAGTTCATCATCCACTTTAGTGAGGTAAGATCTGACAGCCATTGGTTGGGAAGGAGACAGTCAACTTCATCTTGACATGGTGGACCGCCTAGAAGGTGCCACAAAAGAGTGCCAATGTATTCTTAGCACGGCTCTAAATCAGCAGGTGTTTGACTAAGATCCAATACCTTTTCGACATCAGATGCCCCAAATGAAGTAACTTACATCTGCTGGACAAATGTTCTGCTGCCGAGCTACATCCCTACCCTTTAAGTAAAATTGTTATCAACCATACAACTGATGCCATGTAGCTGTAAACTAGTGACTAAAATGTTTATTTAAGAAAGAAGGAAAATGAAGGCACAAACACCTTGTACTTTCTGGTTCCATTTATCATTCTACATACGTTTGGTGAAGAAGCTGTAAGGTCTACTCTGCTGCCCTGTGTAGTTGATGGGAGAGGAGATGCAACACTGTGTCTGCAGCGCATGGCTCAAGCTGGTCACACAGTGGTTGGTTTTTGTTCCCCTTGATGACAAAGAGCCTACAGGCAGATAGTACAAAAGTTGGTGTTAGACCCATGACTGTAGAGAAACAACTGCCAGCACCCAATACTCCTGTCAATAAAAGTTAAGTCACTATGGCTGTTGAGATGGTAGAACAGTTAAAGACACTTGCTGCCAAGTCTGACAACCTGAATTTCACCCCAGGGACACAAGTGGTAGGAGAGAAGAGACAACTCCTATGAATTGTCCTCTGACTTGTACACTCACAGTAGAATGAGAATATATATATATACACACACACACACACACACACACACACACACGGAGAGAGCTTAGCAGTCAAGAGCATGTGCTGCTCTCATAAAGAGCCCAGGTTTGTTTCCCAGCACCCATGTCTCACAACCACCTTTGACCCTTCCTCCAGGGGGAGCCTATGCTTCTGGCCCCTTAGGCATCTACACACGTGTACATACCCCCAGTCAAGACACACAGACATAACTAAAAGAAATGTCTTAATAAGAGACAAAATTTGACACATCTTCAAAACAAAATAACCTAAATGTCCATGCTAGTCAGAGAAGCTGGAGTCCCTCCACATAATGGGTGGGGCATTTCTCTGCAGATCCAAGTGTAGAGCCTACTGTGGGAAAACAGTGCCCTCTGCTGCAGGCAGCCAGGGAGTGTGCAATGATCTGCAAATGTCCCACAGAGCAAAATGCCAGAGTGTGCAAAATATCTGTTCCATGTTTAAAAACAATGCAATGTAGGTGTGTCTGTGTATCTTATACATTCCAAGGGCTCACACAAGAAACGGCAGCTAGAGTTGCCTCTGGGGAAGAAAGCTGAAGTATGTAAAACTAGATATGAAGCCGGGCATTGGTGGCGAACGCCTTTAATCCCAGCACTTGGGAGGCAGAGGCTGGCGGATCTCTGTGAGTTCAAGTCCAGCCTGGTCTACAGAACTAGTTCCAGGACAGGTTCCAAAGCTACAGAGAAACCCTGTCTTGAAAGACCAAACAAAGCAAAGCAAAACAAAACAAAAACAAACAAATAAACAAAAAACTAGATGAAAGCTTCAGCAGCACCCCTAAACAATCACCCTCACCCCAAACCACCATAACAAAACTACTGGAAAGTAAATAAATCTTGCAAGAACAGAGACATACTAGAATCTTACCATAGCTGAGAGTTGTCTTCACTGCCAAAAAGGAAGCTGCTGCTGGAAAGGTGTTTAGAGAGAGCTGCCTAGACAGGAAATGACCTGTAAATGGGGGTAGGGGGAATAATGTGTTTAAAGATACTTTTCTACATGAAAAGGAACCTTTTAAACAATAATGCCTATAAAATATTAACACTTAAACAATAAAAGGACTAGGACAAAGAGTAAGCTATCTCTGGGCTCCAAGACCACTTGCCAAGTAGCTGACATGGCACCTCATCTTTACCCTTTATCCTCAGATCCATCCAGCTTTCAAGCCTTGTGAAATCTCCTTGGGTGTCAAGCCATCTGTCATCTGCCCTGTGCTGTCCTTGCTGGATCTTCTTTGCTGGGGCCTCCTGGTCACTGAGCCACAGGATAATAACCTGTCTCCTACCAGGTTTCCATGATTCCCTCTCTCATTCATCATCTTCCCAGGGTATCAGATCTAGGCACTCACAGCCCCGACAGAATCTTCCTTGTCTCCCTCCTGCTCTAAAGATCAAAGGAAAATTCCTCAGCACAAGCTGGAGCAATGGCTTCTGCTGACGATCCCAGGACTCAATAGAGAGGGGGATCTGGAACTCAAGGTCAGCTTTGGCTACATAGTAAGTTCAAGACCAGCTTAGGCTACATACATGAGATCCTGTGTCAAAACAATCCCTGAGCATATCCTGCAGGCTGGCCACATGGCCCAGGCTTCCAACCCAGTCTCATGCTGCCCCTCCCTCTTTCCTACACCCTCCTTCTAGCCTCACCAGATCTGAATTAGTTCTGAACTGACCCTTCGCTGGCACTTATTTCTCCAGATTCACTGGCACATAGTATACCATAACTTCCTCAGAATAGAAGCATCCCCTTCAGGAAAGAGGGAGAGGCTCTGCACCATCAACCTTTCATTTACTGTGGTGTTCTAGAAGAGACTCTGACAGTACTGGTGAGAAAGCGGACATAGGAGACATATGTATAGTAACCCCCAAACGAAGCTGAAGCCCTCCCTCATGTTATATATAGAAACTAATCCCCAAACTGGCCAAAGGATAAAGGTAAAAGTCAAAACTAAAAATCTGAAAAAAAAACATAGGGGTAAATGATCACAACCTTGGGTTTGGTAATTATTTCTTAGATACAACATCAAAAGCACACACTACCAAGAGGGGGAGGGAAAAAACTAAGATAAATGATACCATCAAAATTTCAAATTGGTGTGTTGTTTTTCAAGGCTAAAAACAGCTCAGTAGTAGGGCACTTGTCTAGCAGGCACTAGGCCCTGAGTTTTCAAAATCAAAAACCAGTGTTTCAAAGAACACTTATCTATGTCAGGTATTGTGGTTCACCTATAACTCCAGCATTTGAGAAGCTGAGGCAGGAGAACACTTTGTATTTGAGGATAGACCACATTCATAGTGAGATCCTGGAAGGAGGGGAGGGTCTTAGAAATCAACATGCAAAACGGGTTTTAAAAAATGTTTCTTAGCCAGGTGGTGATGGCACGTGCCTTTAATCCCAGCACTTGGGAGGCAGAGGCAGGTGATCTTTGATTTCAAGGCCAGCCTGATCTACACAGGAGTGAGTTCCAGGATAGCCAGGGCTACATTGAGAAACCTTGTCTCAAAATAACAACAATATGTTTCTTCATGGGCCATGTCTTTTATCAGTCTGGAAGCAGAGACAGGCTGACCTCTGTCTACATAGTGAGTTCCAGGCTAGCTAGGACTACACAATGAGAACCTATCTCAAAAAATATTTTCTTTGGGGGGGGGGGCAAATTATATATCTGACAAAAGACCTGTATCTAGAAAATACAAAGAAGTCTTCCAACTCAATAATAAAAAGTCAACCTAATTAAAAATGGACAAAAAGCTAGGCCTGTTGGTGGATGCCCACAGACCCAGCTATTAGAGAGGCTAAGATGGAAGGATGCAAAGTTCAAGCCCAGCATGGCTAGAGAGTGAGTTCAACAACAGCCTGGGCAAGTTGTTGTGGACACAATTCTGGAGAAATATAGTCCATCATGGAGAAAACATGGTGGTAAGCACGGCGCCATGATGGTAGAACCTCACACCTAAGAGGGAAGTGTTCAGGAAGTGGAGGCATGCTAGAAAGCCTCAAGACCCTACTCCAATGCATAGCAAGGCCCCGCCTCCTCCGCTTCTATAATCTTCCCAAGCAGTTCCACCAGATAGGATCCACACACAGGGCTTACAGCTCAGTGCTAGAGCACTTGCCTAGCAGGTACAAGGTCCTAGCAGGTGTGTCCACCTTTGGGATCTTAACATGACATAGACCTCTAATCTACAAAGTTCATGGTCAAGAAACACACACACACACACACAAAATCTTACAATGTTTTAAAGACGTTTACAGTTTTCTACTGGACCACTCACAGCCACCCTCAGGCCACAGGCTGGACATGCCTGTACTTAGGTTCAATCCTCAGTGTTCGAGCATGCATGAGTGCACACAAACACACACAGAGAGACAAAAGATTTGAACAAACATTTCTTCAAGAACATACACAAATAGTTAAAAAGCACACAAAAAGAAGCTCATTAGAAATCAAAGTCACAAAATTAGTACATTGTACACCATTAGCTTGGCTATCTGAATACAACAGATAATAAGTGTTGGCAAAGAGAAACTGGAACCCCTACATTGTGGTGGAGCTGTACAATGGTACAGGTACTTGGTGGTTCCTTAGTTAAACATGGAGCTATGACTTGAACCAGCAATTCCGCTTCCTGGAAATATACACAAGAGAGGATGGACAAGGGCACAGACAAAAATACAGCTCTCAGATATTTTAACATCGGTCCTGACAGTCAAAGATGGAAACAGCTCAAATGTTCATCAATCAAAGAATGGATAAACAAAATGAGGTGTAGTGACACATGAGTATTATTGGGTCACAAGCAATATGGGACCAGTGTACCACAGCATGGACAAATCCTGACAACACTGCATTTATGGAAGAGGCCAATCACAGAGACCAGATATCTTTTGATTCTTTTTATAAAAAATGTCTAGAACAGGTAAGCTATAGACAGATGGGAAATTTATCAATAGTTGCCTAGTATAGAGGGCTACTGAGAGATTGAAGGGGACAGACACAGCAGTTAAAAAGTAGTTTTCCTTTTTAAAAAAAATCACTTAAGTTTACACTTCAGATGGGTAAGTTCTATGGTATTAATTTATGTTAATAAAACTGCTACCCCAAAGAGAGGGGAGCTACACAAAGGTTGGGGGGAGGGACGGTCTTGGAGCAAGGCATCATGGGTGCAAAATTTTAAATCTTATACTGTGAACACGTCTCACACTTCTGTGTGCTGTAATTCCCTCATCTATAAAACAAAAATAACAAGGTGGAGTTTGATAGTAAACAACTAACTCCAGCATTTAGAAGCTGAGATATGAGGCTTATAAATTGGGAGACTACAGTGAGACTTTGTCTCAAAAAACAAAAAGGCGGACAGGAGTGGTGGTGGTATGAAAATACAACAGAATCATAAGGAATAAAAAGTTTGTTTCTGGCACACGGGTAAGCCCTTGCGACGGAAGTTTACCACCCACTATTAGATAGAGGCCTTAAGGAGATAGGTTCAACACTGGCAAAACAAGCGAAGGCTCACGTCACATACCGCACCGAGTGATTTCAGGTCAAATATTGCAACAAAATTGACTTTCAGGACCTGGACAGTGAGCTTAATAAAAGGAGCACACTGTCGATCGCAAAGCCACTCCTACTGCCCAGCTGAGAAGGGCTGGAGAAAAACGATGACAGCCCAAGTACATTCCGGCAAACGGATCAGCCCAGACGCAAAACTGACAGCTAGTTAATCTAAAGGACTCAGCAGGAGGGTGATCCTTTAAGTTTTGAGCTTCGCTGGCGGCACTCAGCCTCGAAGCCGAGGTTGACATCACCCTATGAACAATAGGTGATGCTTGCCGGAGCGGTTTTCCTGGCTGAAAGCAGAGTCCAGGTCGCTTCCTATGATATCAAGCCGCGCGACCCAGAGAAGGAGAGAAGGCGCGCAAGGTCACACAGCCTGCCCGACCCGAAAGGGAGACCGTGGTCAGGGGCCCGGCCACTTCTCGAGTCCCTCGACCCGTAATTTCGCAGACCCGACGGCAAGCACCCTGATCGCGCACGCTTACAGCCCGGGTCCCAGCGCTTACCTGCCTGCACACCACACAGTGCAGGGAGACAGCACGCAGCGCGTACGGCCGCCGCCATGCTGGGGCCGGAGCAGCGACGCTGCCTGTCTCTAGGACCGCCTTCCCCACCGCCTTCTGCGACCGGCTGAGACCGCGCCTCGGCAGACGTCCGTCATCAGCTCAAGGCGGTGTGCTGAGACTTGAGGGCCACATCTCAGCGTACACGGGGGTCGACAAATTGTCCACATGGACCACGAAGGAAACTGAGTCAGGCTCAGCTACGGACAGCTTCTCAGGGGTCCTCGCGCTAGGACCCCAGACGGGGGGCGGGGAGAGGGCGGGGCTAGCTCTCCGGCTCGTATCACAGGTAAAAGTCCAATCTGTCAGGTCCAATGGTTGCTGTGTCCCGAGAAATCGCGTTCTGCTGAGCCGGTAGACAGTGGAACAACTGGAAGGGTCCCGGGGGTGAACGAGATGACGTTTAGCAAGTCTGAACTTAACTCCACTAAAGGCCCAAAGTTTATTGGACATTGCGTTGCCTTTGGTTTCAGATGCACTCGTGCTATCATGGTAGAAGTTGTTCACTCACTCATGTCCAGCCCCAGGCCATGGTTTTTACCTCGCCTGGTCATGGCTCTACACTATCCCTGCTTGCCCAGATGAGTACATATGATGGTCTTGGACTACTCCTCTGTAAAGGTAAGCCTCCAATAAACTATTTCTAATTTGTCCTGGCTATGGTGTTTTGTCACGGCAATAGAGAGTAACACGGGGGATTTCTTCATTAACTTATTTAGTGTATCCTTTAAGGCGTCTACCTTCCCCGAGGGCAAAGCTTGTCTACCTTGTCAGACAAGCTGTATTTGCTACCTAATGTTTTAGTCATGGTTTGAAATACCTGGAGATTCAGGGAGAGTCCAAAATGGGGAACAATTGCTTGTAAGATTGCTCTGGCTACTTCTCAAGCCCTTTCAGCGTGGACTGGAGATGCTTCAGTTCACTGAGTGACGGTATCCACGAAAAGCAATAGGCAGTTGAAGACTTGGAAGGTGAGGAGCTCAGTGAACTACATCCTCCAAATCCTTCTTAAGAAAGTGACCATGCCTGTGGATGGTTACAAAAGGATTTCCTGAAGCACATTCCATGCAGCTCCTAGGAACTCAGGAACGACTGAGTAGGTGCCTTTCCTGAGAATAGGTAATCGTGTGCTTCTCCTCACCTTGTCACTTCACAAGCTTCCTTTGAGTACTTGGAAAACATAGCTGAGGATTTCTGTATGCAGCCATCCTTCAGGATGACAGAGGAACCCTTTCACAGTTGCCCTCTTCACTGCCTTGGGGGCAGACTGAGGCTTATAAGGTATCCATCAGAAAGAGGGGAAAAGGGTCAACAAAACTTGGGCACCAGGGCCGTGACGTTGGCAGTCTATTGACATAACCCATTCCCTCCATTGACAAGTGAGCCATCCCTTTGGTGTCCCCTGTAGCAGACGTGGCAACACTGGAGGATTTTGTTTTGTTTTTGTTTGTTTGTTTGTTTGTTTGTTTTGTCTTTTAATGACATGCATGAGAGGCAAAACCTGTGGTCAATATTTGATGGAACTGCTCTTGGAGTTCAGTAAACGTCTTTCCTTCCAGATAACAGCATGAGCATGTAACACAAGGAAGGCATGTATTTACTCACTCAATAGGAGAATCTGCTTCTTTCCCAAGTGCATGTTTTACTCAAGAAAGACTGATATTGGAAGAATCTACTTGATAGTCAAAGAGATCAAGTTTTTAGGGAGGAAGGTGTGAACAGATGGTGGAGGAAGATCAGAGTCACTGTCAGTCCCTGGAGATACTGGGTTTTAGAGTTCAGTCGTTCACACAGGCATGGTATGAACCACCTGTGACCATCCGATGGCCAAATGAGGACTGTGACTGACCCTGCTTTTTGGTAATGTGCAGTTGAAAGAGCCTATCCCTCTTGGAAGCCCCAATGCTGGGGATTCCTTAAGCCTATCAAAAGATTGTTTCTTGGCCCCTCGATTACAAGGGGTATGTATGGATTTGGGACCTCATTTATAATTTCTCACAGACTGGCCTGGCTATTCTTTAAGTGCTGCCATCCATATTCTGCAGTGCCATTAGCTCCAGAAAAGTCCTAACGTGTCCCTTATTTTAGAACGGAAGTAAATACAAATATCCTGGGGCCAAATGACTATTCAATAATTTTTTTGTCTCACAAGTTGAGTCCCTAAAAACTTTGCATCCTTTTTGAGCTACAGAGTTTGTACAGGCTGACGTTTGGCTGGTGACTGAAGCAGCAGAAATGAGGTCATCCTCATACAGAATTATGGTTCAGAGTTGAGTGTAAATTCTCAAAATGCCACCCAACCCAGTATCTGACCAAAGTAGACGGGTATGTTGCTGGGCTGGTGCTGAAAGGAGACTGAGAACTGGGAACCCTGGCTTTCAGAAAAGACATGGACGCTGGCAAACAGAAACCGGATTTGTGCTGCTTAGGGCCTTCCTCCCAGCACTGCTCCAGACAGCTGGACTCCGGGTTTAGGAGCGCACGCACCCACCACCCAGTTTTATCTGCTTCAGCACGCGGATCTGGGGTGCAAACTTGCACAGCTTTGGTTTTTTTTTTTCACGTCATCTTAAGGCGCGCTGGCTGTCGAGACTTCTGGGAAATGGAGTCCATGCGAAGACGACACATTGATTGGAGCCCAGAGGCGGAAGACCGTTGCGCAGGCGCACTGTCTTCCCGACCCGAGGCGGTCCGGCGTTCGCAGGTTCCCAGCACTCTTGTGGAAGGTGAGGGCTGCGGGTCTAGGTCTTCGAGATGCCAAGTGAACGCAGAGGCGGAGAGAAGGGAACCCTGGGGACTTGGGGTGGATCAGTGGGCGTGACCTAGTGGAGCTAGTTTGTGCGAGAGTCGAGGACAGAGAGTCGTCCTGTCTATCCAGTGTGTGTAAATTACTTAGGGCTACCTGTGTCCTTGTGGGGTACGCCCACTGTGTGTCAGAATCCTGTACTTTCAAGTTGGAGGTCCCCCTGTCTTCCTCTAGTTCCCTCTTTCCATAATGGGTGCTTCGTGAATGTAGGCGGTACCGACTCTGAATCTAGGGGTGTCCACTCCACTCTAACCCAGTCCCCCAGATCAAAGTCTCACATTGCGCCTTTCACTCCTCATCTCCAGCCTACGCAAGAATGTCCTGGCATAAGCTTAGGGGATTCGTGGAGGAGGCCACATTTGAGGTGAAGAAAACACCAAAGGAAATGGCATTATTAGACAGAGTTGCGATGATTTTCACTAAGGTGCACTGTCAAAGGATAGTGGGAAATAACGATGAAGAAACTATACTTAGGCCAGACAAGACCCAGAGTATCAGGGTAAGACTCACTAAACAGGGTACTGTGTAGTCTTAAATGAGATAAACACAAACCAAATTTGGAGGAACAATTCTAGAGGTAACATTCTGACCACCATAAAGTCGAACTATCCCTGGCATAAAGTCGAACAACCACTGGCAGCCATCATATGTCTAGAAGTCTGAGTGGTCGCCAGTTGTCTATTAACTCCATTGAAGTTGTTTCAGTTTGCCAGTGATCTTTTCCCTAGTTTTTGTTTGTTTTGTTTTTACATTTATTGCATTAGAGATACAGTCTTATTTTATAGCTTACCCTGGTGATAAGCCAAGAGTTCTCCTGCCTCAGTCTTCCAAGCCTTGGCATTACAGGTGTATGTCACCATACTTCTGTTTTCATGAAACTTCAATCTTGCATATCAAACTTCCAAAAATGTTGGGATGTGTTGCAGGATTTTCTATTTTAGTCAAAAGATCTGCTTAACTTTGTGGCTATCTTTTGATGGAAGTAAATTATAACATAGAATTAAAAGCTTCCAGCCAGACTTTTTTAAATCCAACCTCAGCCTTTTACAAAGCCTGAATGTCCTATAATACCTCATTTTTTGATGTATGAGGATGGAATTAAATTATCCTTATTAAAAGCACTTTGCAAGAGCCTCATGAGAGCAAGTGCCAGCAATACTAGTTAGGGTGATGTTTAATAGCACTCCATTGGGTATCTAGGCAATAAAGTATTTAGTCAAGTGTCCTGTTGTAGATGCTTAATAGAGTTCAGATTTTAGTTGCATTGTTTAAAGATTAAATGGGATGATATGTGTAATGGGCTTAAGAAGTTGGCTGGCAGATAACCTTCAATAAAGATGATGTGTTGGTGATGGTTAATTACAAGCTCTGTAACTATTCTCTCACATTTCTAGAATAAATTTCTAGAAGAGAATTGGCCAATCTGAGAGTGTCTTTGTTTGAAAGCCCTTGTATTCGTCACAGTAATCTTTCAAAGGACATATCTAATGAGGACACACCAGTGCCCAGACGCCACCACCCCCAAGCACCCTTTGATATAATTAAGTACATATCTAATGAGGACACACCCTTGCTCTGACACCACCCCCCAAATTCCCTTCGATGTAGCTTCCAGAGAATATGTTGGGCACTGATGTCGCTCCTTCTGGAGTCCATCCTCTCCTCGGCTAATGGCCTCTTGGGCAAAGAACTGCCCCCACCTCTACCACTGACTTTGGACACGCTGTCTTACTGTGCTTGCAGGAGACAAACAGAAGACTGCTGAGCCTTGCCAAGTCAGGGTAAGACAGCCTTTCTATCTCGCTGCTTCTGTGGTGGTCTGTCAGATACTCTAGGCTTTAGCCAAAGCTAGTTTCCCTGCTGTTGCTGTGAAACTTTAGGTCACTGTCCAGGTAGCCTGCTGTTTCTGTCTTTGCTGCACCTTTTGGAAGCTGCTCACCTGCACTTCCTGCCTCCCCTAGTGTTGTTATCCTCCTTCTCAGGTCTTTGATGAGGTTGAAGATTAGACTATCACAATTATTGTTCTCTCTTCCTAGATAGAAATAGTAAGTATATGACTTAAACTTTCCAGCTTAGGACAACTCTATAGTAATCTCTGTTACACCTTCACCCTATAGCTGGATATGTAGGTGTTAAGTTTGTATGTTCTTAGTTTTCCTTTTCCTAGAGCACACTTGATATTTACTGTCTTTGTATATAGTTTTGTATCAAGCCTAAATCTTTTCTTTAGACTAAAAGGGGAACTGTAGTGAGATATCCACCTCACCCGCATCTGTTGCACTGACCATGTCCATTGGTATTCGTGACCAAGGGGGACTAGGTCTGGGGTCTAGGATCCCATCTCTCTCTTGCTTTCTGGTCAGAGACAGAGCATCCGGCAGCATCCTTGGGACAGGAACCTGCAGGTGGTCATCTGTTTTTGGTGTAAGTGGTTTCTCCCCGAATAAACATCCGTCAGCCTATCATTTTCCCAGATTCTTATTTATCTACATTATAATCTTTTCTCCAGCATTACTCATGACTAAGACTTTCTCTTATCTCATTTCCGTAGTAATCCTTTATTGTGATAAGGGTCTTCCTCTTATTTCCACTCAAGGTTTTCCATGTCTATAATGTTGCTGCTCCCTCACATCAAAACAATATATCCCAGATGTGCCAAGAAATCTGCAGCATTTCTCCCTCAATCCTTCATCCCTGGGCTAGGGGGGCCTCTTCAAAGCCCTGACAGTTTGCCCTGCATCTCTCTTTACAGTACCATCCTATAGTAAATATTACTTTGTTTCATTGTCCCGTGTATAAAGCTGTTGCTCTGGAGGTCAGGGAAAGTGTCTCGCTGGGCTGGTGCTTGGTATGGTTGGTACTGACTAAGTGGGTAGATGAATGAATCACAAAGAACAGTGACATATTCCTTTGGCTGCAATAAAGTGGTCAATGAGCCACAGGTGCACCTTTTCTCTTCTTCCCAGAAGCATACATACTATCTCCCCACCCCACCAGGAGTTCCCCAAATGCTTGCTTTCATTGCTATTTTCATTAAACTCCCTTTCTAGAGAAAATAATTGAGGTGGTATTTCCTACATAGCCCAGGCTGGCCTTGAACTCAGTACGTAGTCCTAGCTGACCTTGAATTTGCAGCAGTCCTGGCTTTTGCTTCTTCCTGAGTGCTGAGACTGCAAGTACTCACTGCAAGTACTCACACCAACCAGGCTTTAGTTAGACTCTTCACTGTGAGAAGGTGACATGCATTTAGCTAAGTTATACGAAGGGAGGTCGGAGAGGATGAGTCTTCTAGGAATCCCAAGGATAAGTAAAGCTGCAGTGTGTGGGAACTGGAGCTCGAGTCCTTTCATCTAGAACCAGTCTCACCTCTAATGTGAGCCACACCCATTGGTCTGTCTCCTGGTAACTCTGCTCCCCTGGTCCCTGGGGCTACTTCAGTACCTCCTGATATCTTCTGACTCATCATTAAAATGTTATTGCAACATTTGAAAATTTTAAAAATTTTCATACCAAATCATTTCTCTCATAGTTTTTGTCAACTGGATACAAACTTAGACATACTTGGGGGGAAAAAAAAATCTCAATTGAATTGCCTCCATCAGATTGGCCTGTGAACATGTTTGTGTAGGACATTTCCTTCCTTCCTTCTTTCCTTTTCTTTCTTTCCTTTCCTCCCCTTCTTCCTTCTCTCCCTCCCCTTCCTTCCTTCCTTCTTTCTATACAGGGTTTCTCTGTATAGCCTGGCTGTCCTGGAACTCACTCTGTAGACCAGGCTGACCTCAAACTCTGTGAACTCACAGAGATTTACCTGCCTCCACCTCCCAAGTACTGGGATTAAAGTCATGACTGCCTCTACCCGGAGTGTGGCTCATTTTCTTAACTGTCAGTTGATACCAGAGGGCCTAGCCCACTGTGGATAATGCCATCCCTGGGAAAGCAGGCATGGGCTCCATAAGAAAGTAGCTGAGCAAGCCAGTTAGCAGTGATTCTCCATGGTCTCTGCTTCAGCTCTGCCTCCAGGTTCCTGCCCAGGCTTCCCTTGGTAAAGGACTGTAACCTGTGAGCCATATAAATCCTCTCCTCCTTTTGGTCTGTGTTTCATCAGAGCAAGAGAAAGCAAACCAAGATGTCTCTAGTAGGTCAGCTAATTACTCACTAATTACTAGCCCCTAATTGGTTACACACTAATTGCCCAGTGTTGATATGATCAGCATGGCTCTAGAAATGAGGAGAAGAATCTTATCATATCTAAAATGAATGCTTCATTAGCAAGAGCTGTAAATGGAGTGCTACTCCTCTAAAGGGGTTACAGGTTTTATTTGTCTTATCTGTATAGTCGTGTGTAAAGTAGCATATAGGTTTTGCTCAATAAACACTCAGGGCAAAATTACTGTGAATATATAAATATCATAGGAATCTTACTGTGCTCCGACTCCTGGGAACAGGACTCTGCCCTGGAGATAGCGGTACAACAGACACTGTCGTGGTTTTGATGTCCATGGCTTTTATTCTAACTCTGGAGTGAGCATGGAGTGCTCCTGGCCTTGCTTTGTTTGCTCTTTGTAAAGTGTTGGCTGCATTGCTCACTGCTATATAGAGGGGCCTTGTCACGTTTGGCAGAAGACCCCTGGTCATTCTCATGCCTTCTCCCACACTGTTTCCTCACTAGGACTTTGTTCTTCCCTCCCAGGACAGCATAGGAGGGAATGGCTGCTGTGTCTCCACCTACCAGGTGCCAGGTAAGGTGGACATTTTTATTTCTAAAATACTGTTTATTGACACAATATAATCACTTTTCTTTCTTTGTCTTGAGCGTCTTCCTTCACAACCCTCCAGCCCTAGGCCACTGAAGGGCTCCAAAGTAAGATGACCTTCAGCACCCAGAGCCTGTGGCCTTCTCAAAAGCTGACAGAACAGGTCTGCATGGAGGATTCTGGAATCAGTAGTTTCGTCCTGCTTGTCCCTCTGGTGCAGCCAGATACGGACTGGGAGTCAGCCCCCGTATACCAAAGAGTGTTGGGTTAGACTAGAGTTTGTGCATGCTGTAGGCACTCGGAGTTAGACCCTGTCTCAAGAGAAACAAGAAAGAAAAGGGTTGTAAGGGAGTGTGATTGTGTTTTCAGACATCGGTGACATTTGAAGATGTGGCCGTGACTTTCACAGATGAAGAGTGGAGGCATCTGGTCCCTGTGCAGAGGGCTCTCTACAAGGCAGTGATGCTGGAAAACTATGAGAGCATCATCTCACTGGGTAAGAAGGCTTTCTGTGAGCAGGGGGAACTTGTCCCAAACCAGTGTATGTCACATGAGCTCGGGATTGCTACCTGACAGACCAAAGAGCCAGAGGAGGTGGCGTTAGGTGCATAGCCAGTGACCCAGCACCGGACAGATAGACTGCCTCGATGTTAACAGCTCTGGGCAACCACAGGCCTCCTTGTTCAGCAACTTGCTTCCCCCAAACAGAAGGCAGACTAGAAGATAGGGCAGAGTGTGTGTGTTCTGTGTAGGGACCTGGCTGTCTAGAGGCAACAAGGAGAAGGATTAATATGTCCTGGTCTTCTCCTGGCATGCCAGCGCTAATGTCCTCAGTTCCATCTGGTGACAAGGAGCCATGTTGGTAAGAGTGGTTATCTGTCACTTCGTGGAAGCCAGAGGAGGACAAAGAAGTTATCCTTGGGAAAAAAAAAAAAAAAAGAAAGGTCATCAGAGATGTGCTTGATTTTGAGTATTTGTCTTAATGACAATATTAGAAACCTTTATAAGGCAGTTTGTAACTATACTTACGTGATGGGGGAATTAAGAGCTGTTGTTAATGTCAGCTGTTAGTGAAGTAAAGTGAAGTCCCTTCAGGTAATAAGGAACTCCCCCACACTTCCAGGAGAAGAGGCTGAAGCCAAGCACAGTGGTGTGTGCCTGTAGTCTTGGCCACTCTGGGAGCAGGAGTACACAGATGTAAAAGCAGATAGCAGTCACGTTCGTGCTGCAGATGTATATTCAAAAGCCAACATTAGGCTGAGGATGTAGCTAAGTGGTACAGTGTTTCCTAGCATGTACAAGGTCCTCAGTTCAATATATGGACACACACACAAACACACACGTCAGTACCTACTGAATGAGCTTAATCAGGCCAACTCATATCCCAAATGGAACAGATTGTTCAGTTGGCATCAAGGAAAATCCTGAGCTCTTGTCAGGGGCTTTGGAAGAGTGAAATATAGAAGTATAGAATTCCTTAGGTCAAAAACCAGAAGCCACAGAAAGGAATGGGTGTGATCTGTCTGCCAAAAGAGAGCCAGTGCACACCAGACTGATGCTTTTTGGGCCCAGGGAGAACAAACCTGTCTCCCCTGTCTGTCTCCCTTGTCTTCCCTGTCTCCCAAGGTGGAACCCGTTCATGGGGAGCTTAGAGCCCAGGTGTTTCCAGGAACGGGATCTCATTTTGTTCATATAGCTATGGATGTGATTGCTTCTAGAAATTAAGAATGTAATAGGATTGCCAATTCATACAGCATACCAGGAAACATTTCTCATACTATTGTGTGTTAATAGCAAGACATTAAAATTAGTAAAATGTCTGTTGATAGAGATTTGCGAATTTATCCATGCAATGTGTCATATAGCCATTAAAACATTGTAGAAAAATCTGTGCTAAATAAAATTACTATTTTAAATTTACCACATGAAAAGAACTACAAGTCAGTAGTATTTCATTATCCAGCTTTATAAAGTTCTTATACCATTTCATCACATTTTTCTTTATTTTCTTGGGGAGGCACACATGTGCGCGCAACAGCCTGTGTGTGTGTGGAGGTCAGAGGACAACTGGGGGGGGGAGTTTGTTCTCTCCTTCCGCCACATGGGTTGCAGGGAGTGAACCCAGTTAGCAGGCTGGGTGCACCCACTAAGCAGGCTCACCAAGCCCCCATTACCCAGTCTTTAACAGAATCACATGTAAGGCCTTTCAGCATCAAGATGAAGAAAAAGAAATATTAGTATAAAGCACAGAGGGTGGTTTTCTTTTTACTGAAGGTAACTAATTTTCCTACAGTGAACATAAAAAACAAGATACTAAATATGAGCAAACAATCAAAATTGAGTTCCCTCTTGGTGCTTTTTCAGCCGAGATGATCTTTTTTTATACCCTGCCAGTGTGCGGATGGAAAGCCTCCATACACTGCCTGTGAACTGAGGTGGCTTTTGTGGGCACTGCCCTGGCGCCTGCTGTTTGTCCTTTTCAAGAGCCTCAGTCCAGACCTTCCCTCAAAGGTGTCTTTGGTCTGTATCCTACATTTCGGGAAGATCTAGACTTAGAGGCCAGGACTAAACTGTGCGATGGTTAGTTATTTCATCACAGCAGCAACCTGCTTTACATTTCCTCCATGAGCAGGGCTTCCTGTTCCTCCGTCTGACGTGATTCTTCAGTTGAAGGAAAGGGACGAGCCACGGACACAGGGTCTTCATGGATCCGAGGAGAAAGAGTGGCCAGAGAGCGTCTCTCTAGGTAACCAAGACAGAGTTTTGTTTGTATTATCTGGGTGTGGAGGAATGTTAGGGATCACCCTTTTCTCAAATTCAAGCTGTCTGTGTGCATGCTTGTTTCCTATTACTCATCAGTTCTCTGGTTCCCCCTTCTACACGCCAAAGTATGATCCGTCTATGTTCACCATCTTGTTCTCAGAACTGTCACCTTGCCTGTGTACACCTCCCACGTCTCTCTCAACCTACCCTAATTAAGCTATTGGCCCCTCCCAGAGCCCTTCCCCTGCATTCTGAGAAGTCTGTTGTCATGTTCCTTCCCTCCCCCCTCCTTTATTCCCAAGCCTTAGGCTTTCCCAGAGTGTAAGACTATCCAGGAAATGAGCTGTGCTGTCATAGCATCTCTCCTCTGTCATTGTCTCCTAGTCCAGAGAAGAAAGTGCATCTGGCTTTTCTCTTTGTTGCAGGCCAGGAGACTAAGCCTGAGAGCCTAACTGCTCCAGAAGGAACACTGGGAGAAATCCATAGAAGGCAAACTCCTCTGTGCCCTAAACTTGAAGTTCAGACACTAGCAGATGGGTCAGAACCAGAAAAGGAAAGTCCTGAAGTAGAGACTTGCAAGAAACCCCTTTCCCTGGACAAAAGCGTACAGCGAAAATCAGCCCCATCCAAAAAAATCCTCACTAAACACCAAGACCAGGAATGCAGTGACTGTGGGAAGACCTTCTTTGACCATTCGTCCCTCATCCGCCACCAGAGAACTCACACTGGGGAGAAGCCCTATGACTGTCCTGAGTGTGGGAAGGCCTTCAGTCACAGGAGCAGCCTCAGCAGACATCTCATGTCCCACACAGGAGAGAGCCCATATGAGTGCAGCGTGTGTGGCAAAGCCTTCTTCGACCGTTCATCCCTAACTGTGCATCAGCGGATTCACACAGGAGAGAAGCCTTTTAAATGCAGTGAGTGCGGCAAAGCTTTCTTCGACCGATCATCTCTCACCCGCCACCAGAGAATCCATACCGGGGAGAGTCCCTATGAGTGTCAGCAGTGTGGGAAAGCCTTTAGCCAGAAGAGCATCCTCACCCGTCACCAGCTGACCCACACTGGCAGGAAGCCGTATGAATGCAGTGAGTGTGGGAAAGCGTTCTATGGGGTCTCTTCCCTAAACAGACACCAGAAGGCGCATGCTGGGGAACCACACCATCAGTGCAGTGAGTGTGGCAAAGCTTTCTTTGACCGCTCTTCTCTTACACAGCACCAGAAGATACACACTGGAGACAAGCCGTATGAGTGCAGCGAGTGCGGAAAAGCCTTCAGCCAGAGGTGCCGGCTCACACAACATCGGAGAGTTCACACAGGGGAGAAACCCTTTGAGTGTAGTGTGTGTGGAAAAGTGTTCAGCTTCAAGTCCTCAGTTATTCAACATCAAAGGCGTTACGCCAAACAAGGGACAGACTGACCAGGGGAGAAGCGTGAGCTACACAGAGCGCCTTCCTATAAAACAGGTCTCCCTGCCATCTGCAAACCAGCATCTGCTCGTTCTGCCTACTGTGGCTGCCATCTTCCCGTCCCACCTCTGCTCCGCAGTGTCTGAGTAAACAGCGTACCTACAGTGCTACATAACTAATGTGGAGTGTGGAAACTGAAAGATGAATCTCCAGATTCAAAATTGTGGACAGAGGCTGGGTGTAGCTCAGCAATGGAACACCGCCTAGGGTGCATAAGGTCCTGCTGTCCGATCCCAGGCACTGCGAAAGGAAGTTGGAGAGATTGTCTGGCAGTGGGATAGATGCAGAGGGGAATCTGCAGACACAACTGTATGAGTGCATAGGCCCGTTACCACTGCGCTTGAAATAACTGCGGCTACTACAGGAGGGGAATGTCACAGTTATGGGAGAACACCATTTTCTCCAGAAGTTTCTATAGATTTTAGTGATTTTGAAGCTTTTGGAAAGCAGACCTTGTTGTCTTGTGCCCCAGCATTTCACCCTCCTAGTACTAGTAGTAGTGATAGCACTTACTAAGCACTCATTTTGGGGTAAACATTCAGCAGAGAATTTTAGAAGGGCTAGACTGACTGATCCTCTAACTGAATCTGTGAGACAGGGCCCTTTGCTGTTTGACTTTGACAGATAAGCACAATGCAGTTTAGAGAGATTAAGTAATATACTCTGGGTAACACAAGGTGTCTTAGTTTTCTATTGCTGTGTAGAGACTCGGCCGTGCCCACGTGACCAGAGTACTGAGCTAGTGGAGGGTGTCGGGATCGAAGCACTCAACAGACTGCCATGAGAAGTGAAGAAGAAGCTCTTTATTACAGAGAGTAATGGACTTATATATATCCAAGTCAGGGAGGGAATGGGTTAAGCATAGGAGGAAGCCATGCGCCACCCACACCCAGGGTCAAGGCACAGGCACTGCATACGTGTAAGTTCTGAGAAAAATCGCAAGCCCATGAACACAACCTTGTTTGCTCCACCTGGAGAACACAGAAGTTCTACAGCGGGATGGGGAGGAAGAGAGCTGTAAAGGACAAGTACATAAATTTCCCAACAGTTCCTCCCTTTTTATTTTTTAAATGAAGCGATCCCTGGCTTAGGTCACCTGGGAAACAAATACCTTACCCGTCATGGAGAAATGCTCTCATCAATCCCTGTCTTAGGCGGCATTGATCCCGCTAGGAGTTGCCTGTCATTGGTTATCGCTTCTCCAGCATCTGCAGCCATACTTGTGCTGATTCATGTTACACTGCCAAGGCCATGGGTGCCTGTCAGGTGACACTTGCCTGTCTATTGTTCTGGCTGTGCATTCAACAGAGAATCCAGATGCAGGCACCGATACCCAGGACCCCGAGCAGGGATAACACAATAGACCCTGACCAACGCTATACCCCCTCCCCCCCATGGGACATGAAATTTCACCGATCACTAACTTTTACAGGATCCAGATGAGTGGCATTAATCACCTTATAGCGTGGCTCAACTGGGTAGTGAAATTGACAAAGGTAACATTCCATACCCCACTCATATAGGCATTCAGTTCATGACGGTGAGGAGAACATTTCCAGGAGTCACACAAACAGAATGCTAAAATGAGGAGAGGAGCAAGACAATAAATAATCAATCTGTTCTTGAGCTAAAGCCAATAGTTGATTCAAAGTCAATATTCTAATTGAATGTGAGTATTTAAACTAATTTGGAGGTCCAAAGCTTGGCTAACTTTCTCTGAGAGTTCATTTACAATAGCTGTAGTCTGGACATCTTGAGAAATGGCAAATCCTGCTGCGGCAGCAGTGGTAGCGGACATGGCAATGGTGGCCACAATTGCAGCGGTACTTCCAAAGTCCCCTTTTTGTCAATACAAAGTCATTGTAGTCCTTCCATCATCTAGAACAGGCCATAGAACCTGTACCACCAGGAACGCGTACCACCATGGCTTTATCTTAATGAACCCAGCAATTTGTCAGGGAGTACTTTCTGGAAGAACAATTAAGAGTTACCCCCCCCCCAGAACTGTTCCAAACAACAAAGAAAAGGGGGTAGGAGACATAGGGAGGAGTTGATAGAGAAGTTTTTCCCCAGCAATATAATCAGTCTTGTTAGATGCCTCTCTTCGGTCTCAGAAATGGATTATTTGTAGATACAAGAGGAATTTAATACTAATTGAGCTATCTGCTCTCCTTGGGGTACGACTAACACTACCCTATCCACTGTTGTAAGAATTTTAATTTCTCCTGTATAATCAGCATCTACAATCCCAGGTAAGATGTGAAAACCCTTTAAAAGAGCGCTACTGTGCCCTATAATTAACCCCATGGTTCCCTTAGGTAAAGGCCTATGAACTCCAGTTGGTAAAGCCTGAACCCCCATCTGAGGCATTAGGACTGCTCTGGCAGAGGTACAGAGATCCAATCCTGCGCTCCCTGCTGTCCCTCGGACAAGGTCCTCAACAAGAAGGGATTGCTTTTGTGGGACAAATTGAATTCTGCCACTGCCTGCTGGTAGATTCATTGCTCCATACACCTGTTGGGTTTTGGGACCCCTAAGAGGGGCCGCTTCCAGTTTCCCAACAGCAAAGGCCATTATTGTAAATCCATCTTAGACTGGCAGTCATTGGCCCAATGATTTCCCTTCCTACACTTAGGATATAAGCCTGGTCTGGCAGCCCTTTGGTTGTTTTGTGGGCAGTCTTTATGGAAATGACCAGGCTGGCCAAACCCAAAGCAATTTCAATCGCCAACTCTGTCCAAGTGACCTCTGTCTTTGATGAAGGACCGAGGCCATAACCTGCCCTTGATGATAGGCTCCATCAATGTCTCTGCATATCCTTATAGAGTCATTTAAACTCTTGCCTTTACGTGGCTGAATAGCTTCTTTACAATATTTTGTTAGCATTTTCAAAAGCCAATTGCTTGACAACAGGCATGGCAGTATCAGCATCTCCAAATATTTTACCTGCTAATGCTAACAGCCTGGATACAAAATCCTGGAAAGTTTCGGAGGGGCCTTGTAAAACTTGTGATAATTGATCTCCGGCTGCCTTGTTAGGCAAGCCCTTCCAGGCCCTCACTGCTGCTGCCACAACCTGGGCATAAACCCCAGGATCATAGCCTAGCTGAGCTGCCAGGTTAGCATACAGCCCAGCTCCTGTTAGCATATCGATGTCTCTTTGTAGGAAACCAGCCTGGGCATTCACATGGGCTGTTTGAAGACACTCTTGGTATTCTCTCCATAGCAAATAATCACGTCCAGAGAGGCATGCGTGACAGAGCTGTTGCCAGTCACTGGGAGTAAGATTGAGGGCTGTGAAAGATTCAAACATGGAAACTGTCAAAGGTGCTAAAGGCCCATATGAGGTAACTGCTTCCTTCAACTGTTTAATTTCCTTAAAGTTGAGGGGACATGCCGACCGATATCTTGACCTGGATTGTTAGGATCAGGAACGTCTATAACGGGGTAAGTTTGTGGAGATGGGTTTTTAAAGGTCACCCCCCCCCATAGGGGTTCATCATAGAGTTCATCAACATAGGCAGGTGGAGCAGAAGGCGTTAATCCCTGCCAAGCTATTTCCTCATCTCCCTTATCTGAAGAAAGACCCTTACCTAACCAAGTCTCCTATGAGTTTTGTTTGGTTTTTTTTTTTTTTTTTTTATTTGTTTGTTTGGTTGGTTGGTTGGTTGGTTTGGTTTTTTTTTTTTTTTTTTTATAACAATGCTGCAGCTTACGGCAGAGTTCTTCAATTTCCTCTATTAAAGTTTCCTCCTCCGAGTCGTCCTCCGACTGGGACTCAGAAGATAACTTTTCTGTATCACTCTCTTCACTGGGGATCTATCACTTCTCCTATGTTCTACAGTGGGGTGGGGAGGAAGAGAACTGTAAGGGACAAGTACATAAGTTTCCCAACAAGACTCGATGACCAGGGTAACTTATTACAAAAGAGAGCATTTCATCGGGAGCTTGCTTACAGTTCCAGAGGGTGCATCTGTGACCTTCATGGCAGGGAGCATGGCAACAGGTAGGCATGGTTCTGAAGCAGTAGCTGAGAGCTTACATCTCCCCAAGAGATGGGGAGAGACAGAGAGATAGACACAATGATCTTGGTGACATACCCCCTCTAACAATGCCACATATCCTAATTTAAAAAAAAAAAAAAACAACTCTACCAACTTGGAAGCAAACATTAAAATAAATATATGAGCCTGTGGAGGCACTTATTCACTCAGAGCACCACATTGCACTCAACTGGTCCTCATGCTGTGAAACAGGTGCTTTTGCTATCTGAAATTCACAGATGAGCACACTCAACACATACACCTGAATTATCTTCTCAACTGGATTGTAAGCCTTGGAGATGTGATTTAAAAGGTCTCTAAATCTTACACAGTGCCTTGCAAACATTAGGTTCTCAATAAATGTTTATCTAAATGAATACCAAGGTCTCTGTATTCAAAACCTGCTTGGGTTCACCTCCTTTTCTGAGTTTTCACAAGCCAGCCTATAGCATCCCAGTAGTCACTTCCAAGTTCTACTTCTTCCTTCTTCGATGCTCAACAGATACATACTAAGCTGTGACACCATAACAAAGACGCCTCAGATAAACAAAGACCTGCATCTCTCATCTGGCGTATCTGCCCATTCATCCTGTACCACGTGGAACCCACACATCACCATGAATAAGGAAAGGAAAAGGAAAAGATATGTTTATGATCTAGGTAGCATTCTGATCACTTCTAGAGTCAGGATCCACACCTGAAGGCTAGGAACACAAGCAGGTACCTATCAAAGTTATGTTTCGCACATCACTTAGCTTAGTCTTTCCACATGGTCCATATCTGCCCATAAGTCCAAATCTAAAATATTGGATATTGAATGAAATGTCTCTGGATATTTACAAGTTTCCTTAATACACTCCCCCATAACCAAACTTCAGATCCTGAGTGTTGCAGGATATTTGATCACAACGTGAAACTCCTGAGACTGTTAATAAAACTAACCTTGGATCAGGGAGAAGAGCCAGTGACTAATTGACAAGAATTAGCCATAGAGTGTTTGGAGGACCTGGTAAGAGGTAGGAGTAGGGAGGGACTTAGAGATTCACAGATTCACAGTCCTTTTTGGTTTTGGATGATGTGGAAAGGAGCCAAAAAAAAAAAAAAAAAAAAAAAGGTCAGCTGGTTACTTCCCTTATCTAGCAGGTTTCCACCTCAGTATCTGACTCCTGAATCTTTATTGGTAAATAGATCGACTTAGATAAAAGCAACACCTGAGTACCCAAAAGAATCCATTTACTAAGTGAAGCCCTGTATCTTTATTGTATTAAAGATCAGGTATGAGGCAGCCTTGCCTCTGGGAGTCTATATTCCCTTTTTTGCAAGGTAAGGCCTGGAAAAGGGCTTGTGTATTCCAGTTGATCAAAATGGGTTTCTCTTGGGACTGAGAGGAAGCGGAATTGCCTAACAGTCCTCTCCCATGCTCTCCCAAACATAAATTCATTTAGGTCTCTCTTAAAGCATAAACGTGTCAGGGAATACATTTTATGTGTGTATTTTACATAAATTATAAGCAGCTTGAAGAAAATATCCCAGGATTTATGTAGATAATACCTAATGTTTCATAATGTCAAGTAAAAACTAAAGGGGACTATTGATTGACAAACATGTCTGTTGACTGTCTCTGAGAGTTCTGAATCTTTCCTTGTTCCAAATAAATTGACTGTTGAGTATTGTATTTGGTTAAGACACTGCCATTGTCAGTGATATGAGATTGAGACAAATCCAAAATCATAATGAACTTTTGGGAAAAGTGATTGAAGAGAGTGGGGAGGTCAATCCATTAGCTTCCTTTTGTAAAGTTGCTCTGCACTCCCAGCAGCAACAGCGACCTCTGGTGCTTGTAAGACTCTGCCTTCCCTTCGGCCCAGGCTATCGTTCAGTGAGTTTGCATCCTATGCTAGCTATGCAGACCCCTCAGTTTTTCCTTTGTAAAATCTTCCCCCTTTATATCCTACAACTACCTATCACTGGTACCCTAAGACAGCTTTTATATATGACTTCCCAATATGTGGCCACACCAAAACTGAATGTATTTTTCCTTCCTGCCACTTATCTTCTCACAGAAAACTAGCCACTTTGATAGCCAGTTTCTATTTACAGAAGAGAAAATTTGATCTACCCATGTTATCTGGGAACAAACCACAATGCCAAACATTCTTTCTTCAATCTAATGCTTAAATCGTAGTTAGATCTAACACTTCTTAGATTAAAACTCCTTTTTCTCATTATGTCTCTTCCTGTCTGTGGGCTGAGAACAAAAGTGCT